CGGTATTATATCGCAACGGCATGGGATATATATCGATAATTGTGTATAGATATATCGATATATGCGAATATCGGAGTCGATGGCGGATCGATATCGATATGTGATCGATCGGTGGTGAATTTCTAAGGTTTCGACGGAAAAATGAAGTTTGGCAAAAAATTGTGCAGTGAGGAAAGGATCGATGTAGTTGTCCAAAAGGCGCTAAAAAGTTACAAATAGTATCAAAAAAGTGGTGTCAGTGTTTGAATTAAATCTATTTTAGTGGTGACGAGACTTGTTGAAGTATTTTTATCTTACAAATTGTGTGTGGACAAGATCAAGCAAATATTTAACTTTTGAGTTGAAAAATCATCTTTAAAATTTATCGTGTGTGAACAAAGTTTAAGTTTCCAATCAAAAAATCATCTACACAAATTATCTTCATCCCCAATTGTGTGTGCAAAAGTTCTAAATAGAATTTGGCAACAATAGTAAAGCATGTGTTTGACTAAAATAGACATTTTGCAGACAAGTGAATATATCAGTGAAAATAATAATAATAATGTATAAAACCATCCAAATATCGAATTTTAGTTAAATATGCTTATAAAATAACAAATAGCGCAATATAGAAGTAAAATCCTAACAAATTGTCACAACTTTGTAAAATATTAAATAGATTTGTGTAAATAATTCGTGCAAACTTAATATAATAAATTCTATGTTATAATTTATATGAAGATAAATTCATTAAACTAATATAAGAAAAACGTTAGTAATTATCTAAAAACTGAGAAAATTTAAAAATACTTTTAGAATATTGTAAAAATTGCAATTAAAAATATTTTGTTGATATATAGATTTTAAATAGTGAGATTTAATTCAGTCTTCTGTGATATTAAAAAAAAATACTACAAAATTTCTTGTAAATTGCAAAATGCTTGCAAAATACATGTTAAAATTTGCAAAAAATTACCAAAATGACAATCCGGACACTTAAACGAAAAAACGTTAAAATATATTTATATTTATATCAAGATATTTTAGAACTCAAAAATATATGCTAAAAATAATAATTTGTGCAAAGTATAATCGTCCATTTTTTTAAACAAAAATGTGTAACTATCTTTTAGTATTTCAAATTGTGTCTTGAAAAGTGTGTTAAACATTTAAAATAGTTGGTGTAATATTTTTTACTGATAAATCTATACTTAATATTGTTTTTTTTATATGACATAATTTCAGTTTTTAAATAATTTTGTGTTGCAAAAATAAAACAACAGTAAAAACAAGTTTAAATGGTGATTTAGTGAAACAGTTCTATAAAATCTATACTATCTTGTCTGTAAAATAGCAAATTATGCAAAATCGTATTTAAAAAGCTTTACACTAACTATTTAAAAATATAATATATTAATTTCAAAAAGTGTTTTTAGAAACATTTAAAAACATTATCCTATAAAAATAAATAGTCTTATGTGTGACAAATATGTATGAAGTGCTAATGGTGATTTTATAGATCAGATGTTCTAGGATTAATTTAAACATTGAAAAATTCCATGTGTTACAAAAAGAATCAAATAATTTTCAAATATTTTCATGGTGCATTGATAGTGAATTGCCAACAAAATCCTACAATTTCTAAACGAAAACTAATTTCGTTTAGACTACTACTAACAATAATGTGCCGTGTATAAGTCCTTTACCAAACTGGCTTCCCCAAACGCCCAAAGTCCCGGGCCGGAGCCCCAGGGCCGTCCCGCCGCCCTACAGCCGACAACCGCCCTCCCGCCGAGCATCCGGGTCAACACGCCCGAACAGATTCTGATAGCCCACAGGAACCGGGAACAGATTCTGTTGGGTCACTTGGGAGCCCCCGTAGAGGTCCCGAGTAATGGCTCCGGTGGTTCCGGTGGTTCCGGCGGTTCGGGTCCGGCGAGGGTTCCGGAGATAACAAAGCCGACTCCGGTGGCGGCGCGAGGACACCAGCTGGCGATACCGAGTCCGCTGTTCGCTTTGCCGACGTTGTCTTTCACGGCGGAACAGGTACGGATTTGTAAAATAATTGAAATATCTTGAAAACGAGAAGTCGTAGGGGGAAATTTTGTATTAGATATTTGTAGCTGATGAAATTCTTTATAATATTGCCGAAATAACATCTAAGCTAAATTTAACTGATTTCGAGTTATTTTAATTTGAAAACTACATAACATTAGCTAGCCGAATCCGCTGTTTCCTATGCCGACGTTGTCTTTCACGGCGGAACAGGTACGGATTTGTAAAATAATTGAAATATCTTGAAAACGAGAAGTCCTAGGGGGAAATTTTGTATTAGACATTTGTAGCTGATGGATTTTTTCATAATATTGTCGAAGTAACATCTATGCTAAAATTAACTGATTTGGAGTTGAATTAATTTGAAAACTACAGGCTAGCCAAGTCCGCTGTTATGCTTTGCCGAGGTTGTATTTCACGGCGGAACAGACACAGCTTTGTAAACTATTAAGAATATCTTGAAACCGAAAAGACATAGAAAGAAATTATGTATTAGAGATTTGTAGTAGATGCAATTTTTATCAATATTGCCTAAATAACATCTAAGCTAAAACTAACTGATTTGGAGTTATACAAGTTTAAAAACTAGATATACAAAAATTTACTGGTTACCGAGCTGACGGTACCGTAAAAGGTACGGATTTTTCGTTTTTTGAAAATATCATGAAAATGGATGGTCGTAGAAAAATATTGTGGAACGGAAATTTGTAGCTTATGAAATTGTTCAAAATATTGCTTAAATAATGTATGAGCTAGCATTAACGGATTTCGAGTTATATTAGGTTGTCAAATATCTCCCTTCCGCTTTTTTGCTCTTGGTTTATAATACAAAAAGGCGGAAGGGAGATATTTGACAACGTTATATTAATTTGAAAACTGACAAATTTATTACCGAGGCCGCTGCTCGCGTCGACACTTTCGAACAGGGACGAATTTTTAGTTTTTGAAAAAATCTTGAAAATGAAAGGGCGCATAGAAAAAATTGTATACAGAAACATTATAGATTATAAAATTCTTTACAATATTGCGTAAATAACATCTAACCTAAGATTAACTGATTTCGAGTTATAAAAATTTGAAAACTACATATACGAGAATTTATTGGTTACCCAACTGACGGTACCGCAAAAGGTACGGATTTTTCGGTTTTTGAAAATATCTTGAAAATGGAAGCTCTTGGATAAAAATTGTGTAAAGAAAAATGGTAGCTTATAAAATTCTTCACAATATTGCCTAAATAATGTATAAGCTAGCATTAACTGGTTTAGCGTTTTATAATGATTATTTTATCGAAAATATTTTAGTTATCTATTCGCGTTACCGACAATATCATTTAAGGTCCAAATTTCTAGTTTTTTGAAAATATCTTGAAAATTGAAGCTTTTAAATAAAAATTATGTAAAGGATACTTGAAGCTTATAGAATTCTTTATAATATTATTTAAATAATGTACAAAGTAGGATTGACTGATTTTGAGTTATAATAATTATTTATTTTAACAAATTATTGTTATTATTTATGAATTTGTTAATATTTGGTGAATATTAAAATTATTATTTATCTACAATTTTCTTTTAATGATTATTTATATTTATTATTTCAGGTGAGTTCGGTTTGCGAGACCTTGGAGGAATCAGGAGACATCGAAAGGTTGGCCAGGTTTCTTTGGTCCATTCCGATTGCCCATCCGAATATTCTGGAGTTGGACAGGTCGGAGGCCGTCTTAAGGGCCAGGGCCATCGTGGCCTTCCACAGTGGACACTTTAGGGAGTTATATGCGATTCTGGAGAGGCACAAATTCACGAGGGACTCCCATGGAAAACTGCAGGCTATGTGGCTGGAGGCCCATTATCAGGTAAAATATTGTTACAAGAAAATTGTTGGATTTTTAAAATATATGATAGTGTGAAAAGGACTATTTTTATTATATTTTCAGGAAGCAGAGAAGTTAAGAGGTCGTCCTTTGGGTCCAGTCGATAAATACAGGGTCCGAAAAAAGTTTCCTCTACCTCGGACTATTTGGGATGGCGAACAGAAGACACATTGTTTCAAGGAGAGAACGAGGTGTCTTCTTAGAGAATGGTAAGAATACAACTTTATTTTATATAATTGATTTTTATTTGAATTTTTAACTTCCCGTAGGGTAAGTTATTGTAATGGGCCGAAAATCGGAATTAAAAATTTTTACATTTCTCGACGTTTTGAAGGTTTCTGAACATTTTGGCATACCTCAGAAAAAATGGATGTGTGTGTGTGTGTGTGTATGTATGTATGTGTGGATACAAATTTACAGTCACGTTTTAGGGCGCACGGATCAACCGATTTGAATGGTTCAAAAAACATTCGATTCCTATTGATTGGGAAAAGAGCTGATTAGTTTTTGGCAAAGGCAGGTCCAGCCGTTTCGGAGATACGGAGCAAAGAGTGCAGAAAATAGAAATCGAATTTTTGAGCGAACGAAGTATCCGATTTGAATGATCTAAAAAACATTCAATTAGTAATGATTGGGAAAAGTGTTTATTACTTTTTGGCAAAGGCAGGCCCAGCCATTTCGAAGATACGAAGCTAAATATGTAAAAAATGACAGTTTTTGAGAGAACTAAGCGTCCGATTTAAATGATTCAAAAAACTTTATGCTTGTCTTAACAAGTAATTGATTTTGAAAAAAAAATTTTGTTCCTTTTTTTTTTTTTTAGTATTTTGTATATCGAAAATATTTCAGATTTTATTTTTAATTCTGACTATAGTTCTAATATACTTTACAAATAATTTCAACTCTGCAATTCGGTTTATATAATTCTTATAAATATTACACAATGTTACAATATTTATACTAATCTATTTGAAAACATTCAGTATTCCTCGAACATTTCGTTACGGTGCGGGAAGTTCCAGCAATTTGCCTTAAGGCACGATGCCATAATTGCCTCAAGACAGAATTCCACTTACAGCTAGTTTGTTTTATTTTTAAGGTACCTCCAGGACCCCTACCCGAACCCTACGAAGAAACGAGAGCTGGCCCAGGCGACCGGTTTGACTCCGACCCAAGTCGGAAATTGGTTCAAAAATCGGAGGCAAAGGGACAGGGCGGCCGCTGCCAAAAATAGGTAATTTATAAGAAAATAATTATGTCCGATTGTCTAATTATTTGTATAAAAATATGTAGATATATATATATATGTATATGTAACAGCGTAATAGTAGTTGTGTGTCTAAATTTTTTATACGTGATGAAATCTCTAAGAAAATCGTTTAAATCAAAAGACAAAAGAATCATTACAATAAATGGTGTGAACGGAATATATCTCACAAAGTACAGTTTTGTCTCTCGGAATCATTTTCATTACAAAACATAATTCTCGACGTGGAACAATGCAGACGACCATTTTGTTTAACATTTTAACATTTTTACATTTAATGACAATTTGTCATCATTTTCCATATTTTACGAAATCAACATTTATTATTCTTCACAATTGCCACATAATGCGAGAGCTGAAGGTAATGATGATATATATTTATTCAATTGTAAGCAATCCGTAGTCCATAATAGTAAATTCAATTAGATTTGGGCTTTTTAATAAATAGAGGCTGATGTATAATAATTCTTATTTACAATTGTTTTAGAGTGTTTTGTGACTAAACCAAATTGTAGATCATTTAATTTTGCACTACTAAAATACATTACTTACGTTCCACAAATACTTTACGACTTACAACCATTTCACCCAAAAAAATCATTCCATTTCCCTGTCGATGGTGTTAAAGGCAATTAAGAAGCAGCTTGCTAATGTGCGACACCCTTAACAAAAAGGGAATAATAATAATTCCATCGGCCTAAGTAAGCCTACACGCCCTTTTTCTCTCTCGTTTTTTTTTTTTTATTTTATCTACATTTACTGAAGATGTTTGCCCATTATCGAAACGTAAGGCATTAGGCAAATGGCTTGGAGAAAAAACCCCAAATCGGAACGAAAATCGAGGACGGAATAGTAATTGGTGGAATTTCCTAAGGAGACAAGGATTTTTGGCGAGAACACGATAATGGATATTTTTACTACTATTTTGTAATGTTTCGGACACGTTCTTTTTACCCATCTTCAGGTGATGACGCTAAACTTTCAGATTTTTAATAATTTCGTTTAGTACAAATATCTCAACATTTATATTCTGCCACATAATATTATTAACTTCCCGTAGGGTAAGTTATTGTAATGGGCCGAAAATCGGAATTGAAAATTTTAACATTTCTCGACGTTTTGAAGGTTTCTGAACGTTTTGGCATACCTCAGAAAAAATGGATGTGTGTGTGTGTGTGTGTGTGTGTATGTATGTGTGTGTGTGTGTATGTATGTATGGATACAAATTTCCAGTCACGTTTTAGGGCGCACGGATCAACCGATTTGAATGGTTCAAAAAACATTCGATTCCTATTGATAGGGAAAAGAGCTGATTAGTTTTTGGCAAAGGCAGGTCCAGCCGTTTCGGAGATACGGAGCAAAGAGTGCAGAAAATAGAAATCGAATTTTTGAGAGAACGGAGTATCCGATTTGAATGATGTAAAAAACATTCAATTAGTAATGATTGGGAGAAGTGCTTATTAGTTTTTGGCAAAGGCAGGCTCAACCATTTCGAAGATACGGAGCTAAATATGTAAAAAATGGCAGTTTTTGAGAGAACTAAGCGTCCGATTTAAATGATTCAAAGAACTTTCTGCTTGTCTTAACAAAATAATTGATTTTGGAAAAAAAAATTTGTACCATTTTTTTTTTTTTTTTTTTTTTTTTTTTGTATATCGAAAATATTTCAGATTATTATTTTCTAATTCTGACTATAGTTCTAATATACTTCACAAATAATTTCAACTCTGCAATTCAGTTTATATAGTTCTCATAAATAATAGACAATGTTACAATATTTATAATAATCTATTTGAAAACATTCTGTATTCCTCGAACATTTCGTTACGGTACGGGAAGTTCCAGCAATTTGACTTAAGGCACGATGCCATAATTGCCTCAAGACAGAAATCCACTTACAGCTAGTTATTATATGTAGTTAAAAAGAGTATAAAATTGCATAAATTATAACATAATAAAAGTATAAAGTGCCATATTGAAAAATCGTGAAAATTTCCACCAAATATAAAAATTCAAAAACTGGATCTTGCCGGGCACTTTTCTACATTTTTGCAAATATCTTGAAATATTTATGCAACTAAATATAATTATTATGTACGGTCAAAAAGCTTATGAATTTACTTATATTATAACATATGTTGAATTATTTAATGCCTTGTTTGAAAATGTTTTTGATCAGCTGGTGCAAATATAATAAACTTTTTATTCTACTAAACTATTTTGTCACATGTGGTTAGAAGGTTTGTGAATTTTTCTGTATTATGGCATAAAAAAGTTTATAAAATCATATTGAAAATCGTGAAAATAATACTAATAAATAATAATAAAAATAAATAAAGTTTCTAACAAAAAGCTAATATAACATTCGGGACACTTTTTTCGTTGCGTGCAAATATCTCAAAATATTTCTTCTATCACATAATATTATTATAAATACTTAAAAAGCCTATAAAACTGCCTAAATTGTGGCTTAAATAAAAATAATTAGTGTTATATTAAAAAATCGCAAAAATTTTCATCAAATATAAAAGTTCAATCAAATGGTTTAAATACACGTAGTAAGAGAAGTATAGTATACAGAATATCTACATATATATAAAAATAAGTCGGGTTTTCCTTCCTGACGTTATAACTCCAGAACGCACAAACCGATTTCGACAATTTTGCATTTGTTGGAAAGGTCTCGAGCTCTGCAAGGTTTATAGCTAAGAAAATTAGTTGTGCATGGCATCGTGCCTTAATGCAAGCTGCTGGAACTTCACGCACCGTTATTAAAAATTCGAGTAATGACATTAGTGAGAATTATCAGAATTATGCTTGGTTAAGTCAACGAGCAATTCTTGCCGCAAAGAATAATGATGTACACGCACTGAATTTCACAATTAAATCAAAAATTGCTGGCGATTTGGTGACATACCAATGATTCCGACTGGTCTTCCGTTTGACTTCAAACGATTGCAATTTTCAGTTTGCCTTGCGTTCGCAATAACAAATCGCAAGGGCAATCGCTTAGTGTTTGCGGGATGAATTCCAAATAGATTATTTAGAAAATCATTGTTTTTCACATGGGCAGTTATACGTTGCCTATTCACGAGTTGGAAAACCATCCGCTTTGTTTGTGTTAACGTCAGACCAAAAAACAAAAAATGTGGTTTACCAAAAAGCACTTCAATGAAACGGATAATTTGCGGATTCACTTTCATTTACTTAGAGAAGTCCAACTAAAAACACTTCATTTTTGTAATCGAAATAAATTCATTACTGTTGTATAATAAAATCACATTTTTCCTTTTCAAATATAAAACAAACAAAAAATTCTTCATCTTTCTCACAAAACCATCTGGTGGCGAAACGGAGTTCGTCGGGTTTGCTAGTATATGTATATATACGTAGATAAAATTTCATCAAATCAAGGGTTGTCTACTAATAAAATCTTTTGGACTTGTTGTGCAAATAAAGAAGTAACATAATTATGGTCAATGCACCACCAACCCTTTCATCCCTTTATTCATCCGAACGACAAACACAAATGTGTTTCCTGGTAAACAAAAACCGATTTAATATCAGTCGAAATATCGAAAATATTGTTCACCATCATGTCGAATTTGATTTTGTGGTAAAAAATACATATATGAAGTATACATTATATTTTCCATTTTGAAATAGTTCACAGTCTTTTTCAACTGATCTTTCTGGTGGAAAACCCCCGAGGACAATTATCCCTTCGCGTTTCCCGAAATCGGCTTAAGAATTTTTATTTGTGAAATATTTACACAGTTTTGACCACAATAATAATAATAATAATAATAATAATAATGGATGTAAGGAAGGAGACATATTGTGGTTAATCCGGTTACGGCGGTTGTTGTACCTGTGGCGGTTATAATCCGATATTAATGACTTATTCACAGGACGAGAGTGAGCTCGTATATATATATATATATATATATATATATATATATATATCTTATATATAAAAATTGAGCTCTCGATGAAATGATCCGCTAAAACTCGAAAACGGCTAAACCGATTTGGCCAGCCTTAGTCTTGAAAAATTAGTGCTATCAGTAGGTTGTAGGAAAGGCGAGATATTATTTGAAAATCGTGTAGAAACTTTACATTTTTAATTTGAAAAATTTTGAAACGCGCTGCAAATGTTACTAGAAACTCAAAATATCAACTTTTTTGAAATGTTAATATGAAAATGCACTTTTCGTCATATTTTTCTTAAACACGGTGCTCTGAAAGATCTCATTTGTGTAATTATATACTCATTGGTATTTATAAAACATTTTCTAGGTTATATTGTTTTTTATTTATGTTATTTAAATTCAGAACCTAAATTTGGTATCGATCAAAGAGACATTTTGTCGAATAACATTTTCCCAGTTATAATTTCCCAGAATTTATTAAAAAATAGATAGTAATATATGAAGGTCCGGGGTTAAAAAGGTCCACCACCGATGTGTCAAAAACCAGTAAAGTTAAGCATTGTTTAAAAACAATATTTGAAAGTAGAGGAAAAAAATGTATAAACAGCTATAACCTTGATTTGAAAACGATAATCTTTGAAATGGGGGAGATAAACGATAATCTTTGAAAGTCCATAATAAAAGTATTTTCTTCCGTTGGTAGTTTTTTAGCATTAGCTAAAAGTGTAATTATTTTGTAAAATACTTCTAAAATTAGAATAAGACATAAAACCTGTTTACCACCTGGCCGTTCCCAGTCTATGTGGTAAAAAGGTCTAGATAACAAATTTTTGAAAGATATAAAAAAGCACATTTCTACAGTGATGAAGTAGAAGGCAATTTTACTGAACGTAGTCAGATAATTGTTTGTTTGAAATTTGTTATTTGTTCTGATATAATTGTTATGGGTTTTACAATATAGTTTATATTTGCTCAAAGTCAAATTGGACCTTTGTGCCTCGCCCTTGTCATTTCTCAATGATGAAGTAGAAGTCAGTTT